GAGATTTCATTCCATCGTACTGTGGATATGAATAGCATGCACATCATCATTTACTACAATCTACTGTCATCCTTCATACCAACATACAACTGTCAGCATTTGCAAGTGGGTTGCAACTTGTGTTGTGTCTATTTCTATAGTTTTTATATAAGCACATTCCATTCAGTGACAGTGATCCACTACAGCGACTAAAAATAAATTAAGTGTCAGCGGCCTTTCAAATTACAAGTCAGTGAATTTGCCCGAAGAAAACTTCTTTGTATTCACAATTTAACGTATTACTTACTGCTTATTCTTTTTAACGGCAGGGTATACATTGTGAAATATAACTTCAACGATGCTGAGATATTTGCAAAACTCCGGACCCCAGGTGTATGCGGTGGGAAACGAACACGAGCTGTTGTCCTTACCGGGGAGCAGCGCACTTCACCACCACACCAGCCGGGTCCTTCGTTTTGCCTGTCTCTCAGCTAGTTCTACTTCTCTAGACCGCATACACCTGCGGTCCGGAGTTTTGCAATTATCTCAGCATCATTGAAGTTATACTTCTTTGTATATTTCTAAATGCAGAGAAGAGTTTTGTGGGCCGACACTCGCTGCAGTATTTGTGTTGGACAAGCTATCGGCTGATTACTAGAATTGTGAAAAAGGGTTCTGTACTGCGAAACAATACATTAGAGACAGAAGTCCCCTCCATAGAGACGATACCGGTCACATGAGACGCCACAAAAGGACGTATAAGTCAATAACAACCGTTATGTGGTAGCGTCGTATAATAAATAAATAGTAACGTACATACCACAATTCCCATAGATCGATCCAACAAAGTCTCTCTTATGATTCCACCTTACTCTAAACAACTCAAGTCATTTAGTTACCTCAAAAACTACGGCACATTCTCAAAAAGCCAGCAAATCCTTAGCTGGGATGAAATCAGGCATCGCTGCATTCCGCAGCAGCTGCACAACCATGAGGGTCGGGCATTCGATGTTTAGTAACACACCTTAGTCAACAGTTTACACCTTAGTCAAAGAGTGTGCAACGGTCGATGTATTCTGGGACTGAAAGGAATTAATGCTCACAAAAGACGAGCTTGTAGGCCACAAGAAAACGGTATATTGACAAAACAACTATAAACCGTAAAATCGCCTTAACACATTAGGTAGGAGAACGTTTAGTTTCATGTCATTGCGAAATTGCTGGTTCTTAGAAATCGATAATTTTTTCAACATCTAGAGAACTTCAAGGTCTGAGAACATGATAGAACTGTAGAGGTGACTTTTCTATCGCTCTATAGGCTTTTTTTTATGAATTAATGAACTAACTTTATGAATGCTACTTTTGTATAATATTACGGACCGGCATAGATCCGCATTACTGTCACCGTTTGGGAGTACTTCGCAATTCATTTTGTGCCTGTTTCGGCATTTTTTATACGTTCACAGTCCACGCATTAATCTGATTCATTACAAAAGTTGAAAAAGGTGTAAAACTCATTCACGAGGTCTATGAGCCTGTATCCAGAAAGTTTTTTTGTAAATTATTAAGTTTGGAGAACGGCCTTTCAATGATCACACCTTACCCAACAACTGTATTGGACAGACTATCGAATGCATCCAAATGATATGATAAGAAAAATTTTGGTGTAGCAAAATAAACCAGTGTAAAGGAAATGCATACGATACAATGCAACTCGTCCACTTTACCACGAGCACGTATAGGCTGCAGCGCGTCTTGAACGTTATGTATTGAGAATTGTAGGAGGTTTTCAATTCATATTTGGTTTATACGATAACTTCTAATGAGCTATCGATGTAACAAATCAGTGACTTTTCAAAATGTTCGAGGACAAGTCTTGTAGCAATTCACCGACATCGTGCGAATTGAAGGCTTAGTTAGCCTGTAGCATGGTGTTGAACAAACGGCTAATTGTATGTTAGAGGGCACCTCTAACAACTGAATGATTAACTTGTACACAAAATGACACTGTAAATGTAAGGTCGTCATGACCAAATGACCAAAGGACGACACAAAATACCTGTGAGAGAATGGGAAATCGAAACCAAACTCTAAAATACTTAAGCGTTCGGAACCTGAAAGAAACATCTCTGAAATGCTACTGTTAGGGTACTCAAGAATTTAAAAGAGCATTTCTTCATTTTTTAGGGAACAGAATAAGAATAAGGAAGTTGTGTAGACTTTAGATTCATTCGGTAAACCTGTTAAAATTTAATTTATAGCTCTTTCCTTTGAGAAAGAGAGAGAAGGTTGAGGTAGCCTACCATAGATAAGAAGTCTTTAATAGGTGATCAACTAGTAGTCCGTACAAACAGTCGCATGCTCACTATCAGCCCCACTTTACGATTACTGTCACAAAGAAAGTAAACCGAACACATGATGGTAAGAATGTTTTCCATTGAAACAAAAGTGTACTTATAACCATATAAATGAAAAAAATAGCATTTTATTCTTCGTATTCTTGTTGAGCAAACGCGAGTGTTACTTTTATTCTTTATTCACGAATAAGCTGACGTTTCGGCGGATTTGGCCTTCCTCAGACATTACGCCTCCATGTGAATTCTGTGCGGTCGGTCTTCACGCGACATACTAGTGGAAGCCTCATAGAAAACGGCTCTGAGGAAGGCGAAATCCGCCGAAACGTCAGCTTATTCTCGAATAAAGAATAAAAGTAACACCTCGCGTTTGCTCGACAAGAATACGAAGAATTACTTGATCAATGTCGAGGTTAATAGAAAGTCGGTCATGGAAGTTATGATCGAAAAATAAAGCAAGTAGCAAAATTAGGAACTTTGAGAACTGCGGCGTTTCTTTTATGACTTTCGTTGCCACGGTGGCTTAGAGACAAAGAGATGACTAGTTGAAAAGCACAACTGATAACGACGAGACACGTGATAGCACTAACCTAGTACTTTGTGCGCTTAGATAGCTGGACATGCGCAAACATGGCGCATCCCAGCACAACATCAATTCTTCTTTGGTGTATTTTTGCTCCACTAATTGACCAAGGTGTTTACTTAGCTCTCACGCCATCAACAGCTACAGTTAGCTCCTACTTACATATACTTGTCTAGATGAAATGTCTTCACATTTGTGTGAATTCCGGCACTTTTTCCAACCTTTATCGTTCGTTTGCAACCATGAACCAAGTTCGATGAGCTCTGCATGGCTTCGACTGCAGGCGTAAGCTTCGCTTTCTTCTTTCACAAAACATGTTGAAGAAAGATCGAGCGTGATTTTTCACTGCAATTCGAGATAGCGAACGTATTTCTAGGTCGTCACCGCCAACGGATGCTGGTCCTCGTGAATCGGAGAAAATTTTGTCGCCTCACGACTTCCAGGTCCACAGCGATTTCTGGAAGGGCAGCGATTCCTGCGACCAACCACTCTAGGAGATGTATTGGCCCAAATGCGGTACCGACTCTCCTCCATTAAAAGGAAGTATATTATAAGCGCTCTGTTTAGCCTTTATCAACAAGACGAGGCTGTTCAGTAAATAGATTTGTTGTTTCTTTTTTAAAAAAATGCATGTTTTTTCTCCATATTATGTAAACCTACAATACTCTGGAACACTTAAGAGTATTCACTCGCTATGATGAGGCGCAAATTCCTTGAAAAGATATCTTTTCTAGATCTTTAGTAGGAACCACTAAACTTGATTCCTCCCGATGCTGCTACAAAGACCATCATGCCAATAAATACCAAACTGCTGTAAGCACTCGAATTGAATCGATGAAGCGATGGGCGATGGCCAATTCTATAAGGCAGTGACGGTGAAAGGCTAGCCACAACAATATTCATTACAATTTTGAGCGAGCTTACCAGTAAAACAATTTACCACTTATCTGTGCGGTGACAAACATAAGTTGATATTGAAAAGAAATAATAGGTAGCACAAAGCGTAGTAATATTTCGAAACCGACTTTCCTTGAACCTCGGTGTGACTAATCAATATGTATTCTTTCTTGATAAGCTTACACGAGGTTGATAAATATATTTATTTTCGGCTAACGTTTCGACGTCTTCGTCTTCCTCAGAGCCGGTGATCCGAGTCGATGGTCCATGCTTGTTGTTCGTCTCGACGTGGCAGCTTCCCCATCGTGTCGAGCCAGGTCTTCCTCAGTGAGCCATCTTCTCGAATGAGGCATCCTCACTCAGTGATGCCCTTTTATGCAGGTTGCTGATGGTCGATAGCTGTGACTGTCCGGTGATAGTGTGATAATAACTTGTTTTTCCCGGATAATCAAACCTGCAGAAGTCGGCGTTATTATTAGCTAGCACAAAGCGTAGTAAAATTTCGAAACCGACTTTCCTTGAACCTCGGTGTGACTAAACA